GTCACATTTTATCTTGGTTTGTAGGATTTTGCTTTATTTCGTAAAGTATGATTTCTTGCTATGATGATGTCTGTCACAGTAAAGACAAAAGCTTAGAATAGGTTCATTGGAGTCGCGGAACAATAAGCCATGGACTTCTTCGCACAATAAGACAGTTTTCACTATATGACAATCACCCGTTGGTTTCCGGTGAGACCACATCACGAATTCCTTTCAACCAACTTTTCTTTCTAAATGTCACAATGTATCACTAAGGAATACTTCGAAACCCAATTTTTCTTCATATCTTCTGCTGCTAGTTTTTATCCTAAGAAGCGATTAAGAAGGATTTGGTAAAGGCACCAATCGGGAAGATATGGTCATAAAATTTTATTATTAGTCAAGTTAAATCACCTCAGTTAACATCTAAACTAGACGCTGATATAACATTTTCAGTAATACCATCTGATGTGAATAAAATAATAAAATAAATTATTCAAAAGCCACAAGATCTCCAATTCAACTGACCTGATAATTCAACATAAAAATTTAAGAAATTACCTAGCCACCAGCGAGCATACCAATTAATGGTATTACAGCTCTAAAAAAGATATATTCCTTATATTCATACAAATTAGAAATGTATGATGTGCTCAAACAATAAAGCCTAAAACAGCTATTAAAAAACAGTCATTAGCATGTCCAAATAGCCATAGGGAGACTCGATTTCTTAACTCAGTGCAATTATGACCTGCCATTAAGACATAAACCTCCGGATGATCAAAAGAATAAAAACATGCAAAGACATTAAAAGATCACATTTACGATCAAATAGCAACATGAAAAGAGTTCTGGCTAATAAGGAAACGACAGAAACAAAAGAAAAGAAGAAATAACCTAAAAAACATAGGAATACGTAAAATAATGATTACATGTAACAATAAATTTTAAGGTTGGGCAGATAATTAATTTATTAAGTATTATAATACTGGCCATGAAGAATAGGAAATCACTGTGAACGCAAAAACTTGAGGGGATTTTTAAACTACTAATTAGGCGATTCTGACTATCATAATGATAATTAACAGAAGGCTTTGACTGGGTGCAATTATGTTGGTCAAAATATTCGTAAATGTGACTCAGAAAACGACAATCGCCGAAAGGATTGGATTTTGATAATAAGCTTAAGCTAAACAAACTTAGTAGGTGCTTTTCCAAGATCCTTTGGGGCAAATAATGAATAAAGGCAAGTGATAGCAATATATTTTTTCCATATTTTTTGATCCATCATAAGCTGAGGACTACTCGGGCCGGGTTTTAGACAAGTTTATGAGGCGTTTGTTTTGAAAAGACTG